CTCATAGTGACCCTGTACAGGGTTTCTGAGGCTGCTGATCTTTACAGGAGCAGAAAGTCTCATCTTTCTCCTGCGGAATAGCTGGTAGTTTTGAACTGCTGACCTTGAGGTTAGCAGCCTGATTCATAACCACTACGCTACTGTAGTTTGGATAATTTCTATTGGCAAATTTCCTTTGTCTTAAAGGTTTTCTAAAGGACCCCTGGTGATACTGTGGGCTAGGTACTGGCCTGGTCCATGGTTCCAAACCCACCAGCTGACCCACGGGAGAAAGATGAAGCTGTCTACTCCGGAAGGAGTTACAGTCTTGGAAGATCCCAGAAGCAGTCTGCTGTGTCCTGTGGGACCGCTATGAGTTGGAATTGACTTGATTGTGGTGGTTTGAAAGTGTTCTAAGTGTGTATTTTCTGTTTGCATCTTTATTGTATCATTTAACATGTTTTCTGCCCCCTGTATTTTATATAATATGGGTGCTAAATTTAGAATTGGACTCCTGATGTGGTGCTGTGGGGTCAGCACTGGACTGCGAACCACAAGGTTGGCAATTCAAACCCACAAGCTGCTCCTTGGAAACCCTATACAGGGTCGCTATGATTCCAAAGTGACACGCAGCACTTAACAACAACCACAAATTTAGAATAAGGAGCTGCAAACTAAATCTGTGTGCCGAGTCTGGGCCCCTTCTGTGGACTGTGCTGGATTGCAGATTTCGGTTTGAACCTCAAGATCTGCATTTCAGACTCACTAGCAGCTCCTCAGAAACCCTATATGTGGTCTTTATGGGTCGGAACGGACTCAATGGCACCTAACAACAACGTTGGCATGAAGCGTGCCCGTGTATTTATGTATTGTCTGTGGCACTAGTAGTCCTGGTGTGGCACTCTAGGGCCAAGTACTGGACTGCAAGGTCATTTTAAACCAAAAGGTCAGCGATTCGAAGTCACCAGCCACTCCTCTGAAACCCTGTACAGAGGCACTATGAGTCAGAACTGACTCGATGGCACTTAATGACAGTCTTAGATTGGCAGGTTTCTTTCATTGTCTCTGGCGTCTGTTCTCTATAACTTACTGTCAGCTGTCAATCTTGAAAGTCATTTGTCCCTTTGCGCCCACCAACACCCGTCAGTCCCTGGATGCTTTGAGATGAGTCTGTTTTTTTTGTTTTTTTTTGTTTGTTTCTATATGCTCTCTTATCTTATGCTGTGCCTTGTTGTTGTTGTTAAGTGTCTCTGAGTTGTTTCCGTCTCATAGCGACCCTGTGTAAGGTTTCTGAGGAGTGGCTGGTAAGCTTGAGCCACCAACTGACCTTGTGATTCAAACCGACCTTGTAGCCCAGTACAGTTACCCACAGTGGCCACGCCAGGACTCCATGACGTGCCTTGGTGAGGTCATTTATAGTACGTCATGAATTTGTGGCTTAGGGCCATTGGTCAGTACAGGCATTCTCTGTTTTTAACAAGTTCACCATATGCCACTTCACTTTTAACTAAAGACCTCACATGAGTACCTGCTTTTGTTAACAATAATAAAAAAAATCCAAAGAGAACTAACTTTCACAAAAATACATCAAAAGCAAAATGAACGGGTGTTCAGCATTTGTTTTGTAAACCCAAAAAACCTACTCCCATGAAGCTGTTTCAGACTCATAGCATCCTACGGGACAGAGAACTGCTCCTTTGCGTTTCCAAGTCCATAAATCTTTATGCGAGCAGACAGCCTCAACTTTCTCAAAGAGTAGCCCAATGCTTACTTAACTCACTGCACCTCTGTGAACCATTAAAGAGACAGAACACCCTGAGCTGTGAGAATGGCATCGCCAAGCTCCTTCCCCTGGAACCACACTCACGTCCGACTTATTTCAGGCTACGTGTGTTAGTCTGTAGGATTGGTGGTTTATTTTTTGAGTCTGGGACTGCTCAAAGTTTTTTTCCGATAGAAGTTAGTGGTAATTGCTTCTTCGCTTTATGCCATTGAAGCTTATGAAAGGTTCATAGGATGCTCTTGTGCTGTGGGGTAGCAGGGGAAGAGCCTGTGTTGGAAAATTCTCAAGCTGTGTGCTGTTTTCTCTTGTGTCTTGTTCTCAGTTCCTCCTCCTAAGAGTACTAGTGTATATATATATATATATATGAGGGTGAGTGAAAAATCATCCCCACTCTGGCTGTAGAAATGATTTCATTCTTAGAAAGACAAATACATCATTTTTTGACATAATCTCCTTGCTTTTCAATACACTTTGTCCATCTGTCAACAAGCTTTCATATTCCCTTATTAAAAAATGTTTTAGGCTGAGCTGTGAGTCACAAATGTACCACTATCTTCACTTCTTCATCAGAGGTGAATTTTTGTCCTCAAAGGGTTGCTTCCAGAGGACCAAACAGGTGAAATTCTGATGGAGCAAGATCAGGACTATAGGGAGGATGCTTTAACACCTCAAAATGAAGTGTCTGCAGAGTGTCAATAGTGTAGGCAGAGGTGTGGGGACGTGCATTGTCATGCAAGATCACAGCACCCTTGGAGAGCAGTCCTCTGTTTAATCCGGAAGTTTAGGCTGCAGCTCTTCAGTGAGCATCTCACTGTACGGGGCACTGTTGATTGTTGAACCTTTTTTCTGATTGTGTTCTAATACTGACTGTTGAGAATCACAGAAAACTGTAGGCATCGATTTTACAGCTGATGGTTGACTTTTTTTTTTTAATGAGAAAAGGATTTTTATAGACATTTTCCAAAGGAAATGTACAAATGATCAGTAGCACATAACAAGCTGCTCAACATTTGTTAGTCATTGATGTTGTTATTAGTGCCTGTCAAGTTGGTTCCAACTCAGAGTGATCCTGTCTAGGGTTTTCAAGGAGCGGCTGGTGAGTTTGAACCACCGACTTTGTGGTTCAGATGATGGTTGACTTTTTCCTTGGTTGGCAATTGAGGATGTTTCTCTTCCATACGCTCAGGCTCATAGTGATGAATCCATGTCTCGTCACCAGTAACAGTATTTTTAAAGAAACTATTACCTTCCTTTGAGTATTGGTCCGAATGTTGTTTGCAGATGCCCGACTACTTCTGCTTACGTTCTTCCTTCCGTGACTTATTTCAGTGCCCATCTTGCTTAGAGTTTTCGAAACCCAAGTCTGTCTTGGATTGTTTCATAGGCAGAGCCAGGGCTGATTTGCATATATTCGCTACATAAGCCACTGTCAGTCGTCTATTGGACAGAATCATTTCACGTGCACGCCCAATGTTGTCATCAGCTGTGGACAGGCATTTTAATACAACCTGAATACAGATAATTTTTGACTCACCCTTGTATATTGTATCTTTTACTCTTTACAGTATTGTGTCTTTTGTGCTCTTTCCTCTTTTAAGTTTTCATCTTCATGTCATTCTGCGCTTTACTGGAATCTTTCCTTCAGACCTTTCCTTAAGTTTGCTAACTGTTGTTTTTGCTGTGCCTTATTTGCTTTTAAGCTTGTCCCTTGGTTTTCTTAATTATTGTTTATTTCAGTCCTGTTACTCATTTGGTTCTTTATTAGTTTTAGATTGTCTACCCAGATTCTCTGCTTGTCATTTATTTCAGTTGTTTTAAAAGCTCTTCTTGATGACCCTTTATTGGGACCTCCGGCAGCTCTAGTTCTAATGTTAAGTCTCGGCCCCACTCCCCCACTTCCTTGGTTTGGGTTCACTTATTGCTTTCCTGAATGCTTGCTGATTTTTTACTGAGGGCCTGAATGGAATATGAAAGCGTTGGAGACAGTTTGAATGTCAGAATGACTATGAGAGATTTCTAGAAACAGGCCTAGGAGAAGAGGGGACTAATGAGTCTTAAGTAAGATAATCACCCAGGTTCTAGGTCTGGCAGAGAAGGAAATGAGGGGAGATTGGGAAAAATGAAGATCTGGAAGAATAGAGAGTAAGTCAGCGAAATGTATAGGAGGATGTGACTTAAAAAAAAAAAAAAAGACCTTAAAATTGAGAAGAAAAAACCCCTAAGGTTCCACAGTAACACGAACCCTCCTGGTGTAAGGGCTTCGTGGCTAAGCTTTGAAAGGCTTCCTGGTAATTTGTGACGGCTTTTGTTCTTTCAAGCAGCCCTAGTGGTGGCACAGTGAGCTAAGCCTTGGGCTGTTAACTAAAAGATCAGCGGTTTGAACCCACCAACCACTCCACAAGAGAAAGAAAAGGCAGTCTGCTACGGTAAAGATTTGCAGCCTTGCAGATCCTACGGGGCCGTCCTCTGTCCCAGAGGGATGCTGGGAATTGAAGTCAACTTGATAGCAGACTTTGCTTTGGGTTTCGTTTTGTTCTTCCGGTTTCCTTTGAAATTACCTTTGGCCTAACTGGTCTAGGAATGTTCTGCCTTAGTGGGGTGAAGACCAGAAGCTGCCACGCCTCTGATAGAGGCTCCACATCTAAGTGAGTCCAGATAGCTCGTGAACGAGAGGTGTCATTGCAAACTGAGGTCCAAGGAACTTTGCTTTTGGCAGCAGGTGTTTTGTGAAGATCATATGAAATGTTCCAAAAAGTCCTATTCATATAGCTGTTGGAGAATTGTAACATTATAATTATACAGAAGGAAAATTTTGTATCGAGAACTTATTATGTATGCCTATAATTTAGTCGTATAACTTAATTGTGTTAAATAAAATTTATGACACGTTTATGTGTGAATTGGAGTATATCAGCACCAGAACTTGAGTACTACGTTTTTCTGCTTGAGGGCTTATACATATATTTTCATTATCTTTGAGAAAATGAAGTTCCTTTTGAAAAATCAAGTATTATTAAAGCAAATTATACATGCCGCATTATATAAATTTAAACTTTTGGTTTCTTTGTAGGTCCTGTAATAAAATTAAAGTGCTGTAGATTTTTGCTTATTATATGTTATTTGATCTATAATAAGAATAAAACAGCCCAAGCCCTAAATCACTATAGTAATTCATAGGCAAAAAATTATATTACATTTTTATTTAAACTAAAGAATAAAATTCTTTTTCTGTCTTTAGGCAAAATTTGGTTTTTCTAATATTACTGGAATCGATTACTCTCCTTCTGCAATACAACTTTCTGCAAGTATTATAGAGAAAGAAGGCTTATCCAACATCCAGTTGAAGGTAACTATTATTTATATTACTGTTACTTTGTTTTAAAATAAGTTGTAAAGTTTAAGTATTCCTGAAGTTTATTAATTTGCTGATGTTTTTTGAATTTATAAATTAAGGATCGTTCAGAAATAATTCTGATGGAAACATTTTTAGATAATTGTAGTAATATTTTTAGTCTAGTCAGTTTTGGAGTCCTGGTATGGCACTGCAGGATAATGCACTGGACCGAAGGGTGGGTTTGAACTGCAAGGTCAGGGTTCAAACCCACCAGCTGCTCCTCTGAAACCCTAGACAGGGTCACTGTGAGTCAGAACTGACTTGATGGCACTTAACAACAACACTCAGTTTTGGGAACTCCTGGTGTGGCATTGTAGGATCAGCACTGGACTTCAAACCTCAGGTCAGGAGTTCAAACCCACCGTCTGCTCCATGGAAACCCTATACTGACAGGGTTGCTATGAGTCGGAATTGACTCAACAGCATCTGACAACAACAACAGTTAGTTTTTGAGAATGTTACTTTTTCTTTTGTGATTGTGTGTGTATGCCCACTCCCTCCGCTTTCTTCCCTCCCTCCCTCCCTTTTTTCTCCCTCCTTATGTCTTTTCTTCTTGTGCTCTAAAACACTGTCAAGAGCTCTCTTGCTGTCTTTCCTCCATGCTTGCAACACACACAAATGGGAACCTAATTACAGATTGGTGGTGGTAGTGATATGCCATGGAGTTGGTTCCGACTCATAGCGACCCTGTCTAGGGTTTCTGAGACTGATTCTCTATGGGAGCAGAGAGCCTCCTCTTTCTCTGCAGAGTGGCTGATAGATTCTAACTGCTGAGCTTGTGGTTACCACCCAGCTCTTCACCCACTGTGCTACCAGGACCCCTTAACTATGGATTAACCAGATCAAAAGGAAACAAAGACGTAGAGCCGTATAACGCTACCAAAGAAGACTTCGTTTACTTTATTTTAAGAGACGAAGTCTTGCCATCTGAGCTCCTAAGGAGCATTCTGACTGTGGTTCTGCCAGGACAGATTTGTTGGTTCTTCTGGTAGTCCATGGTACTTTGAATATTCTTTGCCAACACCACAATTCAAATGCAGTGGTTCTTCCTTAGTCCTTGTCCACCTTTCACATGCAAAAGAGGCTATTGGTTTAGGTCAGGTGCACCTTAGTTCTCAAAGTGACAGTTTTGTTCTTTAACACTTTAAAGAAGACTTTTGTAGCAGATTTGCCAAATGTAACATGTCATTTGATTTCTTAACTACTGCTTCTCTGAGAGTTGATTGTAAATGCAAGAAAAATGGACAACTTCAGTCTCTTCTCCGTTTATCATGATATTATTTTTTGGTCCAGTGATAGGGATTTTTGTTTTAATTACATTGAGGTGCAATCCATACTGAAGATTGAAATCTTTTCATCTTCATCAGTATTTCAAGTCCTGTTTGCTTTTAGCAAGCAAGGTTGTGTCATCTGCATATTGCAAGTTGCCAATGACTCTTTTTCAAACCACATGTCGCCTCCTTCTTCATATAATCCAGTTTCTCAGTTTATTTGCTAAGCATACAAATTGAATAAGTATGGTAAAAGGCTATAATCCTGGTGCCCTACTTTTCCTGATTTTAAACGATGCAATACCCTCTTGTTCTGTTTGAATGTTGGCCTCTTGGTTTATGTACACGTTCTTCATAAGCACAGTAAATGTTCTAGAATGCTCATTCTTTGTAATGTTATTTATAGTTTGTCATGATCCACACAGTCGAATGCCTTTGCAGAGTCAATAAAGCACAAGTAAATATCTTTCTGGGATTCTCTGCTTTCAGCCAAGACCCATCTGACATCAGCAGTGATATCCCTTGTTCTGTATCCTTTCTGAATTCAGTTTGAATTTCAGGTAGTTCAAATTGAAATTCAGGTAGTCAATGTACTGCTGCAATTGTTTTTGAATTATCTTCAGCAAAATTTTACATGCATGTGATATTAGTGATATTGTTCAATGGTTTCCACATTCTGTTGGGCCACATTTCTTCCAGTCAGTTGGCCTGGTGGCTGTCCTCCACATTTCTTGGCATTGACGAGTGCTTCTAGTACTGCCTCAGTTTGTTGGAAGATTTCAGTTTGTGTTCAGTCAATTCTGGACCTTATTTCTCACCAATACCTTCAGTGCAGCTTTAACTTCTTGATCATATGGTACCTGTTAAAATGACTGACTATCTACCAGTTCTTTTTGGTACAGTGACTCGGATTATTCCTTCCATCTTCTTTTGATGCTTCTTGTATCATTCAGTATTTTACCCATAAGATTCTTCAATATTGCTACTCGAGGGTTGAATTTTTTTCTTCATTTCTTTCAGCTTGAGAAACATTGGGTTTGTTCTTCCAATTTGGTTTTCTAACTCTAGGTCTTTGCACATTTCATTATAATAATTTGTCTTCTCAAGCTGCCCTTTGTAATTGTCTGCTCAGCGCTTTTACTTTACCATTACTTAGAGTAGCTTTAGCTTCTCTACGTTCAGAGTAGAGGACCTGAACCTTCTGATGACCATTTTGGTCTTTTCTTTCTTTCCTGTTTTTAGTGACCTTTTGCTTTCTTCATGTGGGATCCCACCTTTGCTTTCTTCATGATGTCATCCCACAGCTTTACTAGTCTTTGGTCATTGGTGTCTTAGGCATCATATCTGTTCTTGAGATAGTCTGTGAATTCAGGTTGAATATACTCAGGGGTATATTTTGGTTCGTGTGGATTTATTTTAATTATTTTCAGCTTTAGTCTGAAGTTGTCTATAAGCAATTGATGGTCTTTTTCACAGTCTGCCCCTGGCCTTGTTTTGGCTGATGTTGAGGAGCATCTCCACCATCTTTTCCCATCGATAACAAGTAGAGGCATATGTCAGAGATTAGCAATTAGGCAGTAAAGTGAGCCACACATTGTTTATGTTTCTCTGTGTGTATGAATGTTTGCACTGTCTTCTAGTCTAGCAAGTGCACAATAGCATTATGAGAAAGTTTGAAATGATACAGGACACAAAGTGAGCCCAGCCAGGCTCTGGGGAAAATGGTGCCAGTAGATCTGGAAGCTTCTCCAAAGCCAGCTCTTCAGTGTAGTAGTTTCATGAGAGTGCTTCCAATACAAAGTACTTTGGAGCCAAGGAGGAGAAAACCCCCCACATTTTCAAATATAAATGCACTTAAAACTCCCATTCTTGAGTCCAACAAGAAGATTTTTTATTTATACTTTATAGATTACAAAGGTTTGTGAACAACCATGAGCTAATTGCTTACTTAGTTTTCCAATAGTTTTTCAGAATTGTTTCTTGGAAAATGTTTGTGACTGACAAACGGAGGCAGAGATCACAATTTCAGGTCGCCATTTCTTATTTATCACAAAGTTACTGAAAATTGAAAGTGCATGACATTTATAAAGTTAATTACATAATTAGGGTTCAGCAGTTGGTGAATATCTTCAAGCTTTAGGCCAGTCATTAGATTCGTTGGTACCTTTGTAAATTGCTTAGCTGAGGCAGAAGAGCTTCGGCTTTCCTGGGTGGCTACGTCTGCCATTGTCAGCGCAAAATCTCATTTCACATGACCTGTTTGAGTTCTAGATGAATGGTGTCCTTTTGAAGAACATGCCAAATATTCTACTTTTTGATAAAAACAACCTTTTCGTAAGTCCGACTTCTGTATGCCATAATGCGTTGGTGCTGTTAGGCACTACACCTGGCTTCCATTTGTCTCCAGACTGGTAAGAGCTGTGGAATGTTCAGGAAACACTGTCCGTCTTTCTTCCTAACCTTAGCTTTAATGATCTTGGAATGAAATAATGAGAAGTTAGCTAGCAAGTTGAAAATCTGTTTATGATATGTAAAGTTTCCTGATACTGAATGGATCTGTTTGGCTGTAACCTTTTATGGATGGTCATTTCAGTTCAGAAAAGATGGTGTTAACTGTTCTCACATAGATACTGTTTTTTTATATAGGTAGAAGACTTTTTGAGTCTCTCCACAAAGCTGTCTGGATTCCATATTTGTGTTGACAAAGGGACTTTTGATGCCATCAGCCTTAGTCCTGACAATGCAACTGAGAAGAGGAAGCAGTATGTGAAATCTCTCTCCAGGGTGTTGAAAGTCAAAGGCTTTTTTCTAATAACCTCGTGTAATTGGACCAAGGAAGAGCTGCTGAATGAATTCAGTGACGGTAAAATGGTTACATGTTGCTTGTACGTGTGTGTTCTCCTCGGGTTTCATGCAAACAGTAGCTTTGTTTCTCTGTGAAGCTGTAGGGCCTCACTTTTCTGTTGTGGGAATTGCCTGCTTGGCTTCTCTCTTATTGACTTTGGGAATACTTGTATCTACAAAGCACAAAGGAATAATATTGGTTTAGATCCAGAGTCCTTTCTGATATTTTCCCAAGACATGCTTGCACTAACGTACTAAAATATATGAGCCTGCAAAAGCTAGATTCTTTATCTAAGCGATAAAACCCAAACCCATTGCCAATAGGTTGATTCCGGCTCATAACGACCCTGCTTGGCAAAGCAGCAGTGCCTGCAGAGTTTCCAGAGCTGCAGTCTTGATGGAAGGAGGTTGTCCTACGTTTCTCTGCAGAGCTGCTAGTGGCTTTGAACTTTCCACTATGCCACCAGGGCTCCTTATTTAAGCTGTGCAATCTGTTATTCAGAGCATCAAAGAAAAACACATGTATTGTGTTTCTGGCTTCAATGTGCTCATTTACTGGTGAATCTCTTAATAATGCAAAGAATTGATTTTTTAAAGGCTTTGTTGTTCTTGATAAGTGCTGTCGAGTCGGTCTATATTCATGGTGACCCCGTATAGGGTTTCAGAGGAGTGGCTGGTGGGTTTGAACTGCCAGACTTGTGGTTCACAGTCCAGTGCTGATCCTACAGGGCCACCCAGGAGTCCCTTACAGGCTTACGTGAGGAGAGTTGTAATTGTAGAGATAGTGAGAACAATTATTTCTAACATGGTGCAGAAACATGTAGAGAGTCCACCGTACAAGTAACCCCTGACTTTTGACATGTTTAGTTAACAATCAATTGCATTTATGACTGGCCATTTTTTTTTTTTCTATTTTTCGGGGACACCTTATGTTAGTAATATGCGCTACGTACAGTGTTGCAGTATGTAATTTACTGATGTCATCATTCTCAGATATAAAATGTTTCCAAGCCATGAAGACAATGATCAGATTTATAAAGCAGATAAGTAACCATAGTAATGAAAACTTACATATTCAATTCCTGTCAGAGCCGGCTGAGAACCGAGTAGTCATTGGGTTGGGCCCCCAGTGTAGTTGAAGGCTGCCTGTGGAAGGCTTGCCTGTGAATTCAATTCCTGTCAGAGCCGGCTGAGAACCGAGTAGTCATTGGGTTGGGCCCCCAGTGTAGTGGAAGGCTTGCCTGTGGAAGGCTTGCCTGTGAATTCAATTCTTGTCAGAGGCGGCTGAGAACCGAGTAGTCATTGGGTTGGGCCCCCAGTGTAGTTGAAGGCTGCCTGTGGAAGGCTTGCCTGTGAATTCAGTTCCTGTCAGAGGCGGCTGAGAACCGAGTAGTCACTGGGTTGGGCCCCCAGTGTAGTTGAAGGCTTGCCTGTGAATTCTGGAGGAAATTGTTGCTCTCTCCAAGATGTTGGTGCCGAGGCAGGATCTTGTTTGTTCCGTTAGCAAAATGTCTACAGAGTCGCATAATGTCTATGAGTCGGAATGGACGTGGTGACAGTGGGTTTTTTGTTTTGTTTTTGGTAGCAAAATGTAATTGGTGTTATGTCTGCTAAGTGAGTTCTTTGGAAGACTGCTTTTGTCTGTTTTAAAGAGCATGCTATCTGCCCGTTTATTCATGCCCCACTGTGAGAGTCTCTACTAGGTGTTTGCTTGTTTTCTCCGTAGAATCCTTCTCAGATTATGATTACGTTTTCTTTTTAATGGTACCATGTTAAACATTTTTATAGTGGCGGAACATATATCAACAAGATCTGTGGAGTCTGATGTAAACCATTTCTGCTTCATCCATGTTTGCATGCACAGCTGAGTGATGGGAATTGTGTTTACCGTATTGTGCAGCCGCTACCACCATCCATTTTACTCCGTTTTCTTTTAAAGCTTTAGTGGGAGGAATTTCTAGGGCTGAGGATTAAGTAAATAATGTGGTGTTAAATATCTGGTTAAATTTTGAAGCTCTGTTGCCCCAGCTAATGGGAAATGAGTTACCTCGAGAGAGCAGTTTAACAGGTGCTGTCACTTCTGGTGGCTAGTTACTGACTGCGGGCACCTTGTCTCAAAGCTGTTATTTCTGCTAAGGAGGGAACAGGCAGGAGTGGAGGGAGAACGCTTCAGACGTGTACTTTGTGTGGACTCCGCTCATGGCTTCATTACCATTGCCTTTGGAAAACCAGAATTATATGTGATTTATTATCTTTTATTTCATGCCATTAATTTTATTATCTTCCATGTTACATTTGTTTCCTCTAGAACTGTTGAGGCCATGTATCAGTTGTCCTCCCCCCTTCCTGAAGTCTGACAGTTGTAATAAACGCTCTGAGTAACACGGCACACATAGGACAAGTTGCTTTCCTGGCTTTTAAATGCAGGTGTTCTCCTTTGCCCCTGGAACAACCAGACAAAAACATGTTTGTCTGTCTCTCATAATGAGGAACAGACTTCAGCCTGGTATACCCAAACCAAACCGTTACGTCGATTCCAATTCACAGTGACCTTAAAGGACAGAGGAGAACTGCACCCCCACCCCCACCCCCCCAGATTTCCAAGGCTGTAAATCTTTATAGAAGCTGACTGCCACACCATTCTCCTGCGGAGCAGCTGGTGGGTTCAAACCACTGATCATCTGGTTAGCAGCCAAGGGCTTTCATCACTGTGGTACCAGGGTTGTCTTAGCCTAGTACAGGTTGCTTAAAAAATGTGTCTGTGTCTGAGAACTACTGAGCAAAACTTTAACTTGCTTTCCAGCTCTAGAGGGGACTACAGAATTTAAAAAAACGAAATGGGCTTTGGAGATAGACATGAGATGCTGAGAACACTGGATGCTACACGTGGCTGATGAAGGACCTCAGTGTTCCCTCGGTTAGGGCTGGCTCCCAGTTTCCTTTGTGTGGGCTTAGCTGACTTCACCAGTCTTCTAAGGTTCTTTGCATCTTTCCCTTTTTGAATATATTGTCATTGATGTGTGCCTTCGAGTCGATTCCGACTCAGAGCTACCCTGTGTAGGGTTTCTGAGGAGCAGATGGTGGGTTAGAACTGCCAACCTTGTGGTGTGCAGTCCAGTGCTGATCCTAATATGTAAAACTGTTGAAATGGACCTTGTTTTTTTTCCCCTGAGAGCGTATTTATTTAAAAAAAAAGAGCAAGACACTTTACCTTGCCGTTGGTTTTGATGAGGGTTACTGAATCAGTTACCAGATGGTAGAGTGTTCTCATATGATGTTTAAGGGATTTGACTTTATTATAACTACTGAATTAAAAAAGAAAAAAGTGCCACTCATTATGGGAAAAATAGGAAGATATCAATAACCCTAAAAGAATCACATGTATTAAAATAATTAAAATTCTTCCTTATTCATCAGTGGGCTACAATCACTGTTAAGATTTTAGGATGTTATCTTTCCAAGTGTAATGACCTAATTCTGCAGGGTTGGTCCAGTGAGTTAAAAAATGAAATAGTCCTGGCAAGTTCACCAAAAAAAGCTCTGTTTTCTCTTGACAGTTATTACAAAGTATTTTAAGCACATACACAGGTACTCAGAAACTCTGTGTGTGGACCCGTGTAACCACCACAGGGGCACCATCAGCCCAAATTGAAATGCATTATTCCATTTAGAAGACCTTGGTATGGGTCTGGTTTTGGGGTGATTTTCTTATGAGTAGTTTTTAAGTAGTGTTTTAATATTTAGTTATTAAGATTTGCCCATTTTGGACTAAGAATCTGAATTAGAACGTGTGATGACACAAAGTATAAAAGACACATTGATACAGTAATATATTTCCTTCTTAACATTTTCTTACTGTTTACAAGAGTTATTTGCACTCAAGGCATGGAAATGTAGATAATACAGAATTCACTTCCCCCCAAACTCATAGTCCCTCATTGAGGGAAAACCCATGGTTAAATGAACAGTTTCGTCTCTGACCTTCCAGCCTTTTCTGTTGTATTTTATAGTTTAGGAAAATGCTGCTTCATCTGATTTTGACCCTAACCCAGTCACTGTGGGTAGGTTAGGGTTAGAGACACTGCCTGTCTCTAACCTCTTGGCATATAACTGAAGTTTCTGGTTAAGGTAACCTGCCCTGTGTGTCTCTTACCTAGCCACTTGAGTTGGGACTTGAACCCCTGACTTCTGATTCTTATTTTTTTTTTTAAATCACACTTTGCTGCTTTAAAAGTTACTAGTTCCTTGTCTTCCCATCTCCTTCACCTTAAGTTTGTTTTATGCCTTTTTTAATTTTTATTGTGGTTTGGGTGACAGTGTACTTGCTTTATGGCGTGACCTTTGGTTACAGATTCATCTATATTTCCCCGTTACTTACCTTCTCTATATTGTTGTTGTTGTTAAGTGTCACTGAGTTGGTTCCGACTCATAGCGACCCTGTGTAGGGTTTCCGAGGAGCACTTGGTGAACTTGAGTTGCCGACCTTTGCAGTTCAAACGACCTTACGGTCCAGCACATTAACCCACAGCGCCACACTGGACTCCACCTCTCTGTATTAAGTGATCTTATGTTAGGAGCCCTGGCATGGCGCTGTGGGCTTATGTGCTGGACCGCAAGGTTGGCAGTTCAAGCTCACCAGCTGCTTCTTGGAAACCCTATACAGGGTCACTATGTGTCGGAACTGACTTGACAGCTCTTAACAACAACAATATATTAAGTGTGATGTAGGTTGAACAAGCATTTCAGGTAATGCCCAGCCCCTGGTGAGAACTACTCAGAGCAGACGAGCTGCTTCCTACAAGTGGGGGCTGAAGTCGGTGAAAGGAGAGGCCTAGTTGAAGGCCTAGTAAACAGGAAGTGGGGGCTGGATGGAAAGCTGCTGCTCTGCAGTTTGCTTTTGGTCTTTTTTGTGCCTTGTCCAGTTGCAAACGGTTTTTGGAGTATACACATATGTTACACTTATGTAGCACAAATACTTAAAAAATCAGAAAATCAAGTCCAGTTGCAATTTGGCGTTTG